TAAAAAAAAATTTTTTTTTTTTTTTTTTTTTTTTTTTAATATTTTGTTTACATAGTTATATAACCATTTTCCCAACGACTACACACTAAATAGTTCAAATTTTTTGCACTTTTTCACCAACAACAACTGGATTGTTGCGCCGTATCTCTTGGGCGCCCATTCCTCTGTAGTCGAACTTGCAGTCGTGCTTGTCACTGTACCGATGCACAGAGCAGAAAAGTCCACCACACCGACACTCGAAACCTTGAAAAATAAACAGAGAAAATAACGAATCAATTGGCCGATCTCTCAGTTTGCTTGTTCTTTCATCACTCTGTATAAAAATGTAGTAAGTACCTGTCAAGCCCACTTTTTTGCGACACACAGCGCAACGATTCTTCTTCTTGTTTTTGGAGTCCTTGTCAGTCTCTTTGCCATCGAAGCTGTCCTCCACGTCGCCACTGCTCACCGAGCTTCCTGCGGCCCCGCTGTTGTTTCCAGCTTCGCTCTCCTGCTCGTCCCTGCTTATCTGTAATGAAAAAGTGCGACGACGACGACGCTTTAATGACGATACTGCCTGAACTGAAGGAGAATCCGATTATAGTCATCAGTGGGAAAGAGAGAAAAAGAGAGAAGGGGTTTGCCTCGTACGAGGTTAAAAATTCATCCACGAACCATTGCAGCACGTATAAACGCGAGTGCCTCCTCCTCCTCCTCCTCCTGGTGGAGAGAGCGAGCTCTTTTTTTTAACCCATTTTAAATTTAACAAAAAAGTAAAACCATATGAATGTATGTTCTCGTTCACGAAAACATTTCGAACTTTTTGACAAGCCGTTACCATGGAAACTGAACCAACGATCTTTCTCACATCATCAATCGATTAAAAAACCCCACACACACACACACATACACAATTTGAAAAAAATAATAGAAATCCCGCATTATACAAATGACAGATAATAGTTGGGGTTAATTATGTATACTTACGTCTTTCGGACTGGAGAGATCTGTCGTTGGCTGAGATAAGGTTGGCAGTGTCGGCTGCTGCTGTTGCTGTACGGCGCTCGTCGCCGTGGCAGCTGCCGCGACCGCGGCTGCCGTCGCGCTGCCGAAGGTGCTCTGTAGAGCGCCGGCTGTGCTGCTCGCGGAGGTCTGTGACGCCGGGACCGAGGGCGCCGAGACCGGTGGCTGTTGTTTCTTCTTGAGGTTCTCCTTGTAACATAGCGAGCACAGCCCGTCCGTCGCCGGCGAGCCGTAAAAACCGCAGCCACTTCTACAAAGAGCTTGCATCGGATTCGATTCGCGCTCCATGTTTAATTTATTTTAGTTTTGTTTTTCCTCTTGCAAACTAAGAGGTTGTCCTCGCCGTCGTCGTCGTCTTCGTCGTTTTATTTGAGGCTGGAGGTGCACGGTCGGGTAAGGCTTCAAGATCCCAAGTAAATTCAAAATACGATTGACGATCTTGATCGCTGATGCTGCTACTTTTACCACTTGAGCTTCAGAAGCAGTATAGGTCTGCCCGTGTAGCAGGCTCCTTCGCTTGCACGCCTCCTCGGATTATCCGACGGCTGTCACCACGTATTCACCTGAACAAACAAATAAAGACACACTTTCATTAGCACTAATTTGGGCAACGTTATATTACATGTTTATATCCATCATCGATCCATATACACAGGACAAGGCATGTAGAAGCATGAAAAAACATGAAAAAGCACGAATAAGTCTAGGTGAAGCGTGTGAATAGATACCACTAAAAGTAACGCTATATTTCTAATTGCTGCGATGCGAGAAGGATAAAAAAAAAGAATTGGTATCAGAGGGAACTTATACCACAAGCAAGTAGCAGCAGTTCCTGGCACGTCATCCCGTCGACTCTTTCTCATTCTCGCTTGGCTGTTCAGCTGCCGCTTATACTTATGGCCATTCGTGCGTACGTTCGTTCGTTCCTTTGCTTTCTGGCCCAGGCGAAGAGATTATTTATTAGGTACCTACTGTAACTACTACTACTACAACTCGCGAAACAAAGTCCGTACATGTAACGCAACAGCAGAGGGAACGAACGAACGAACGAACGAACGAACGAGCAAGTGAGAGAAAGAGAGAGCGGACAAAGTGATTTGGTATACATACATACAGAGAGAGGTAACATCAGCGCGAGAAAGACAGACCAAGGGATATATATTCGCACGCACACTTTACATCAGATACAATATAATATAGTGTTGGTGGTACTATAGTAGAACCTAACAGTAGCAGCATGTGATAAAAAAAAAAAAAAATGAAATGAGACACTGCACAGTGCACACTCGATACGCACGCATACAACGCACACGCATAGGAGGTAAAAGAGTGAGTCTCGTAAGAAAAAACGAATCCCCCGAGTCGAGCACTCGAACACTGTAGGTATATAGGTATAAGTACATGGGACCAAAGAGAGCCAGCTCGGAGCTTGGTGTGATGGTAAGTCGCCTCGTCCTATACCTACGTCGACGGCCCAGCGGAGCGCTGCTTGTTCTCATCCCCTTGTTAAATGCTCCATTTCGCGCAACCTGCCTGGATGTATCCTGCAGCGTATATGTAAATATGTACCCAATACCAAACAATATGTATATCGCACTCACACACTACGCACTGCGACTCCGATTCCCGTCGACGTCGTCGCAAATATCGTGTCGCAATAGCAGCAGTCGAGGCACAACATGGAGTAAGAAGACTGGCTGCTGCTGCTGTTATGTCCGTCGGGCATTTAACGCGAGGCAGCAGCGCCGCGCTCCCGAGCGAGTGTGTGCCCGTCTCTCGACGACTCCGATAATATATCCCCCAGTAGTTTGTATGGCCCTCTCCCACAAACACTCGTTCGAACTGCACTTGCAGTGTACAAAGCGTGTTCACGGGGTTTAATCACAACGAACGTTCAACGCGTCCCCCGGACTCTTGAACTCTTTGTACCGTGCGAGCCCCGACGAAGACCTAGCTGCTCCTCCACCTCCGCCACCGCCACCACCTCCGCCAGAAGCAGAGCGTCTCAGTCGCGAGCGACTCTCCGACTCCGAACACACACACAACTGATACGTGAGCCTCGGAAGCTCTCCTTGTCGCTCGCGCGCGGAGAGACCGCCTCCCCCCTCCACCCACAACCCAGGAGCGTCAACGGTACACTATCGCGGTGGCGTCTCGCGACTACTCGGTTCTCCGATAACGTTTTACAATTTGTGTGAGCAATGTGCATCTTGGATCATATTAGCAGCTGGCCGCTAACTGTCGATTAAAAAGGAGACAACGATGAGGCTTTCGGAATCTCGCAGAGACAAAAAAGCTCGGGGCGACTGGGGTTACAGCTACAGCCCTGTCAACGCATACACACACAAGAGCGCGCGAGTGTCGACGAGAGTGGGGATGCGTCGCACCCCTCCCGTGATGCCAGATTGCAGTGTAGCTGTAGAAGCAGCGGTAGAGAGAGCTTGCCAGAGTCACTCCGGTTGTGCGCTTACGTCGTCGTATACCTGCTTATACACTTATAGGTATATTTACTTGTAACGAAACGGAGCAGCATCAGGAAAGTTTTTCGCACGCCTGATTGAAGCTTTTTTTTTTTTTTGTGGTGTGTAAACATTATTACTTGCTTAAACCACATCTACAAATCAATCATTTTATGTCTTTCCCCCTCCCCCTCCGTTTGCGTTTGTGTTTTTCATAATTTTATCGAGTGCAGGTGATTTTTTTTTTTTTTTTTTTCTTTGGAAACAACAAGTATACAATCGAGGAAAGGTCTTCCAGATGAGTATGGTGTAAAGAAAAAGAAAAAAAAGGAAAATAGATGTCTTGGTTCTTGTGTGTTTTCTCTCTCTTCACTTGTCACTTATCAGAAAAGCCCGTAAACCAACTGCTGCTCGTTTGCACCAGAACGTATGAAGCTTTTGCAAAAGCTCAAGGCAATATATACAGAGTGAGAGAGGGATGGAGAAGAAAAACCCCGATTACTCTTGTAAGGGAAATTTCGTTCTGCCGATGCTCTTTTTATTTGGAAGTATATTTGAAAGACACGGGCTTGTACGCAAATGAGGAGATGACGAAGACGTGCGCGTCGATAGCCGAGTAATTTATCGCAAAACCCAAAACCGTTGAGCGTACAAGTGAATGAATCACCGGGTGAAGGGGAGGGGGGAGATAACGTAGTTGGAATTTTTTTTGGCGCGCGATTTTCTTATTAGTATACAAACTAGAGTACAAAGTAACTACGCGCGCAATTCTGCGATTCAAAGTGACACTTCCTGAAGTCCGGATGAGCAAGTGGATGTGATAAAAAGAAAAAAAGAACAAAGGTATATTATAGGGAAGAGTGCACGACAGGGCATCATGTACTTGCACAACAGAAAGAGAGAGAGAGAGAGACATGCCGATAACCTCGTTAGGCCCAGTAATGGTGTACACCTAACATAATATAAAGGTATAGAATAAGGTGAGTAAAGGCATAGTGTGGGTGACCCGAGCCCACTTAATAGCCTTAGGGTATTTCCCCTTTAAGCGTCAAAAACTGCAGGCAAAGAGCGAAGAAAGACCACTGGGAGGCAAGCGCTACATCCCCTTTAACTCGTGTACTAGGTATGATATTGGCCGACGAACAACAGGGCTCTACCAAAGTGTATTTCATTATTGTGCACCCTACACGATTTTGACTTGATACACATTACTTGCACACGAGAGTATAACGTGCAAAAGAGAAACTGATGCAGCATACGTATATATATGTAAGGTATATTATTTAGAGACGCGAGAAAGTCCCGGTGGAAGTGTTAAGCATTATGGCTTTACGTAAGAGAACCTCGTAGTGTAGTCCTTGCGTTTCTGTTGAGCTGTATGGAGATGATTGTAAGAATAAATAAGTATCTGATAAAATGTTGCGAAAAATTAAAAATGAAAAAAAAAAAAACCCACTTTGACGTCCGAGAAGAGTGAGATGTGAAAGTCACTACGGGAAAGAGAGGGACCAACCATGTATACAGGCTTTTTCATGTGGTACGTGCAGTAGGTATATAACCGTTCGAGCTCTCTCACCACGGCGGATAAAAAGTGAAAAGGTGCAACGTTATAGCGCATAGACTGTACACCCGCCATGGGGTACAATGGAGCCTGTCTGTAGTAGACCAAGACGGCCTTGATTCAACAACTCACGACTGCGTGCACAGAGACAGACGTCCCTGCAATTTATACACACACACACACACACACTCACACACACACACACACACACACACACACACACACACACACACACAACTCTTCTGTACAACGGGGATATAGGACAAAAAAATGGAAGGAACAGGGGAGATGGTGCACCGGGTTATATTCCGAACGTATAACATGCATACGGCCCTGAGGACGAGAGGAGAGTGCGCCAGCTTGGATTCTTCTGCCAAACTCAAAACCATATCGCATTATCGCGCGTTGAATTGGTAAAGAGTAAGATAGGGGGAAACATGATTAGCTATACTGATGACGGCTGTAACCGTGGGTAAGATGTTAACATCGGATCTTTCTACCAGTAAAGCACTGCATCGGATGCACTTGGCGAATACAACATAATAAATATATAGGTTCAATGTTGACTATGGCTGGAGGAGAACTCAACCTGTACTTAATTGTGGCTGTGTGAATTTTTTTTTTAATTTGTACCCATATATCCCTGTACACTTGTTCCTGCATACAAACTAATGATTTTTTGCAGCACCAGCGCAAATCAAGAATTTCCTAACTTATATAGGTAAGGCAATATATAAGGAGCACTTCTGCCACTATCGAATGAGCATAAAACTACGGGACAAACTCTAAAAAATATCACACAATTTTTTTTTATACTGATTTACAGAAAATCACGTGACTATATGCAAACGCCACAATGTACTTTCTTGTGAGGACGGTGGGTGTATATTTATACTTTTCTATGCGTATTACGCAGTTATAGTCTTAGAGGACGAAACGACTGGGTTTAACAGCTATGGAGGATACGGGTCCCTTTTTTCTCATATTCGGCTTATCAGTATACATTTGGGAGCGTAAATTAATATATATTCAAGAAAGATTAATAACTGTAAATTCAAAGATGAAAACAAAACTCGAGTACATAGGATTGCTTATTTATTAAGACTATAGTAGTGTTCTTGCGTTGTTCTCCAAATGGACATGGGAATAAAGTGAATCTCGTTTGTTGATGGAGTGGGTCAACGTGTATATATTCTATAAATACCTACATACGTATTGTTTCAAATGCATCCTCCTCCAGGTTATAATTCGCGTTTCAGATGATAATTGTTTCTCGTCCTCGTTGCTATTTCTGTGTAACTGAATACTTTCAAGACCTACATACAACTCTGATAACGAAATCAATCAAAACTAAAAGGAGAAAACAATACAAGATTCCCTGATAAAAAAATAAAAAGGTTTATCGCATAAATATGAGCAAAAGAGTAGTTTGGCGATCAAGTTTTATCGTTCCAGCTGGCCAAATTAAAAAAAAAAATTAAATCCTAACGATACGTAGGCATGTCGCCAGTAGACGAATCACTTGAGAGGAAAATAAAAACAA